ACTTGGGCTGAAAAAGGATTTTTCTGTAGTTAATATGTCAAGGAATCTGGATTTTTGTATGGAGGGGTGGTCTGAATATGACAAATAATGGAATTATTAGCGTAACATAGTTTTGATGATGTCAGGTGTTTGGAACAGCTAAACATAAATCCAGAAATGCAGGCACTGAGAAAGCTTCTGTTTCTGTTTGGCACATGCTTCATTTGTTAAGATCAACTGTATATAACAAAAAATGAAAGATTGTTACATTTCACTTTTCAGCAATAATAGTGATAGAGTGATTTTCAGTTTTTGAATGGGCAGTGTCACTAGGTATTACTCAAAGAGTGAGATTTGCTTAAAGTTTGTTTATCCAGCTGAAAGAACATTATATAATTAGTGAGATTTTACTTTCAGTGGTCTTACAGTCAAATGAAATATAGTTGTTTTGGACAGCACAATATTGTTTCATTGTTGAAAAGGAAAGAGGTCTTTTTGTTACTGGACACAGCTCTGTAAGCTAGTGACTGTGGTCATCAATGTTAGAAGATTTGGATGGTACTATCCCAAGCATTTATTAGTTAACTTTCAGTTATGATGTGCAGGTCTGTAAGATAAGCAATTTTCCAAGCAAAATGGGTACAAACATGAGCAGAGGAGTTATTTTGCTGTTTATTATATAAGAAATATGATTAAGTAGGTGTCAGAGAAAAATGTAGCCTGTTAAAGCTTGTACCCTGTAGATTTTAAAAATTCATATAGTTTTGAAATTTGCATTTTGGAATTCTTCAATGTGTGAAAAAATTCTCTGTTAAATTTAAAGAATCCACCTAAAGAAGAGATGCTTCTGAAGGTAGAGAAGGTTGCACAGAGAAATTGGTGTAGTTTTTTTCAGGTGTAAAGTCTATGATTATAGATCTCTTCAAGAATAGAACGGACTCTTTGACCGTGCCTCTCCATCCATGAGACCTATGTAAGAGGTCATTGCAATTTGCACAGTCTTGTTCATCTCTTTGGGGACCAACACTGTTGCAAGGATTATAGGAGCCATTTGTATTGGCATCTCTGTAGTTGGCGGGAGGGGCTGCCAAACATCTGCACCAGTGACAACTTGTTTGCCATACCATGTGAAATTATTCCAGTGCAATGGTACATAGTACAAGTGGCTTGCTCCTGCTATTTTTTTTAATTTTTTTTGCAGTCTGCAATCTATAAGATCATTTCATCACCATTTATTTTACAGGTTGTTTTAACAGATTGGACAGCTTCTGGGATAGAATATTTCAAGTGGTGTCCTGTAAGGACTTAGGAGGCATCTCATTTCCCCCTCCCTGCCTATTTCCCCTTTCCCTTTCTGGAAAGTCCCACACTGTCTCCCCTTTTCCTGCTTCCTTATCTCCTTCTAGGATTGCTGACCTCCAGGTAGGACCTGGAGATGTCCTGGAATCACAACAGATCTTCCAAATACAGAGATCAGTTCCCCCATTAGGGCTGCCAGCTCCAACTTGGGAAATTTCTGGAGATTTGGGGGTGGAACCTTTGGAGGGTGAAGTTTGGGGAGGGAAGCAACCTCAACAGGGTATAATGCCATAGAGTCCACCCTCCAAACAGCCATTTTCTCCAGGGGAACTGAGTCCAATAGCACCTTAAAGACTAACAAAGTCTGTAAGGTATGAGCTTTCGTGAATCAGTGTTCACTTCTTTAGATAGATAAAGATGGGTAGCCATGTTAGTCTTTCTGTAGCGGTAGAAAAGAGCAAGAGTCCAATAGCACTTCAAAGTAACAAAATTTGTGGCAGGGGATGAGCTTTCATGAGTCACTGCTGACTTCTGTAAACTTGTTTCCATTTATTCTTTGCAACCTCCTGGACTGAATACTCCTGGACCAAACGGAAGCCTAGGTTTCTTGTCTCGTTATCCGTTCTGATAACTCCAGGCCTACTACCCCTCTGTATATCAAACCTAATCCAGTCAAGCCTGCTATTGCCATTCGGCATCTGAAATCATCTTTATAAAGTTTATATCTCCGGTACCTCATGTTACATTTTATGGTACATATGGCCCAGCCTGACAAAGTGACATTTATGTCAGATCTGGCCTTCATAACAAATAAGTTCAACACCTCTGGCCTAGAGCCTTACATTGTAGGGAATAGGTGATTCATAAATTGAATAAATAAATAAAGTATGAACTTTCACCTCCATACCTGTTTTTTGCCCCCAAGTTCACTGGTTTGGAGTTTTCCCACAGCATTGTGGTGCATTAATGCACCTTTGAGGTTTCCCCAAATTTCTCTGATCTTTCTTAAACCTGCTTTTTGAGAAACTGTGCAGTAAAGCTTGGATAGCTGCATTGTGACTGGGAAAAATTGGATTTTCCAGTCCATGTAACAGCCGTTTTCCTTGACTCTGCCCCCAGAGCAGCCATTTCTTCATCCCCCGGCTACCAGGGGGCTTTAAAAATTTTTAAATAAGCACTAGAATATTGTTATATCAATATACCAATGTGATAACAGGTGCATCAGGTTCCTTGAATTCTCAGGGTTTTTTTTAAAGTAAGGCTCTAGGCTCTTCTCTTGTGGAGATATAAGAAAAAATCATATCTTTGTAAGGTAAGGGGCTAGAAAATTCCTTTTTAAGAAAATGAAAGCTGGGAACTCAGAGAAGCTGCTATAGTTACAATGATGTATTGATATAACAACATTCCAGTACCAACTTAAAAAAAAGTAAAAGCCCTGGTGGCCCAGGGTGAGGGGAGATGGCCACTTCTGGGGGACTGGGGCAGGGAAACTTCACAGAAACTTACCATGTGCAACTGCTGTTGCTCCTGCATGCCATCTGCAGCTTCACCAGCAAGAGGGAAACCACAAAATCCCATTGCTGTGTGGATGCCACTCTGGTCACCTCTGTCCCTGCCTCTTATAAGATCTGAACATCAGCAGTCTTTCAACTGTCCCATGTTGCTTTGAAGGCATGACTTCAAACTGCATGCATGTACATATCAACACAGTGAAGGTCTGCAGAAATTATTTTCCATGGTGAAGGAGGAGAACTTTGGGCTTTTTCTGGATTATGGGAGCATGTTTTGCCCCAACTGTTATTTTTCTAGACATGTGCAGAGTTTGCAGCTTCATTTAAGCCCTGAATCAAGTGCATACAAACCTTAATAGCTTTCATATCTTTCACATCTACTATATGTGCACTGTGAGTCCTGTATTTCAAGCTCCCTAGTGGTTTTTTAAAAGTTAATTTTATAGCACCATAATGGCTCTATAAAAGGGCCTAGGGGAAGAAATAATTCCTCTCTCCCCAGTTCTGACCTAAACTGGTGCTTCACACACATGAAAATAAAGTTTAAAACACCTTTGGGAACTCAAAATACAGAACTCTTGTCTGCATAGCTAGTAATGCCCAAAGTATTAGTAAGTAATAGTCATATCTGCAGGACCGCCTCCTCCATTACACCCCCAGGAGAGCATTACGGTCTTCACAGAATAATTTACTGGTGGTCCCTGGCCCTAGAGAAATCCGGCTGTCCTCAGCCAGGCCCTGGCCCCTAACTGGTAGAACTCTCTGCCAAATAACATCAGGGCCCTACGGGATCTCATGCAGTTCCACAGGGCTTGTAAGGCAGAGATGTTCCTCCAGGCATTTGGTTGAGGACAGTGATGGTTTACATCATGGCTGGCACCCTGCCTTACCCGGATCTCCTACTCCTCTTGAGTTATTCCCTCCCAGTGCCCATGAAACACTCACAATCCAGGATTGGGAGGGCACTACAAAATATAAATTCACCATATGTTTTGCCTCTGTATAATATATTGGGATAGTTTTATGGTTTTAATTATTTTAAATTTGTCCATCGCCTAGAGCCCCACATTTGTGGGGATCAGGCAATTCGTAAATGTAATGAAATAAATAAATAAATAATATTCTATATCAGTAAATAGATATAAGAAGAAAGAATACGGACTGAATTTGCAGCATTTGAAAATGTGTCTTAAATGATTAGCTTTATAGTATAGTGCATCTTACAAAATGTATTTCTAGAATTCAGATCAACAAATTCGAGTGGAATTGAATAAATGTAATATGAGCCCAGAGAATTAGTGTTCCATTTTATCTCAGTTCAGACAGGAGTTGAAACATCTTTGATGAGAGCAAGTTTGTTAGTACAGGTTTTCTTAATTAGCAATTAAAGTAATAGGGTCAGAAGCAGGGAGATAAAAAGAGTGTAACTGCCAGTACCAAGGGAAGAAGCAATTGATGATCACCTAGGAATTGCTCAGACACATTCCCCGATAACTTCTGTATTAAGGTGTGTAATGACAATGGCTAGTGCTCATCAACTCTTGCCCTACTTCCTCTGAGGTTGCAACATGGCAAAAAAGGTATATATGTGGGACTAGTAAAACGTAATTTTTGAATAAAGGGCATGTCCTGAGCATTTTGTATTTGTTTCCTGGTAACAATTTGTCTCTTTTGCATTTGCACGTAATTCCTGCTGTATACCCCGATCACTGGCAGCTTAAGACCAGCCATTTGAGCTGGCCTCTCTGCCTATGACACCAAATGTCATATCTGAACTGCTGGCCCAACTTTATATAAAAGTATGCTGATGCAGCAGTCAGTAAACCTCACACTGAACAACCATTTACTGACACAGCAGGTTTCGGTATTGGACCTGTAATGCAATTAACATATCTTGTTTTTATACTGCATATTTGTTAGAAATCAGTCATTTATTGTAAGGTTTTTACTGGCTCATAGCCAGCTATGATAGTATTGGGAATTTTTCTGTTTGTCTTTTAAATTGTTATGTACTGGTCGAAGACCGTAATAATAAACTGACTGACTGACTGACAGTGATTTATTGAATTCCTAACTAGTTAGCGTCATCTTGTGGTGATGTGCATTTACATTTTCTTTAGAAGAACATAGCAATTTGAAGCTCTGTGATTATAGCTTAGTTTATAGATTTTGGTGGTAATAATAAATTATATGTGTTTCTTAATTTCAAAGAGTACAGAACAAATTGCTGCTTTTTGTCGCAGTCTTCATGAGATGAATCCATCCGACTTGAGTGTCAACCCTAAGGAATTTACTGGCCCTCAGCAAGCCATAAGACAGTTAACTGATGCGGATAAACTGCGCAAGGTTATTTGTGAACTCCTTGAAACAGAACGCACCTATGTCAAGGTGAGCTGCTTTTTGGGGAAATGATTTAGTTGTAATCAATATATCTAATTCTCAATATGGCCAAATCTAGGGATATGTAAATCCAGACACTGGAGCCATGAAACAGACAAGACAGAATATATCAATATCTATATCAATATCAATATCTATATCAATATCTATATCTATCTATCATCTATCTATCTATCTATTAGCAATAAAGCCCGTTGTAGGAGTGAAGACAATGAATGCTAGCCTGGCCGTCCAGCCGCAGGCCCCCGTCTCCTTCCTCGACTCCCCCGACCTAGCGAAGCAGCCAAGGCTCATCCCTTCCCCCCCCTGCGCGCAGTCGGAAGCCCCGGCGGGCCAAGCCACCTGCCCTCAGCTGTTTCCCCCACCTACGGCCGCCCGAGGCCCCGGCAGGCCCAGCCTCCCGGGCTCATCCCTCTACCCCTAATGGGCGGTAGCTTGGGTGGCCGGCTGCAGGCCCCTGTCTCCTTCCCCGCCCCCCTGCCCTAGTGAAGCTGCCTGGACTCGTCCCTCCCCCCGCACGGTTGAGGCCCCAGTGAGCCAAGCTGCTCGGGCTCATCCCTCTCCCCCCAACAGGCGTTAACTTGGCCGGCCAGCTGCAGGCCCCCGTCTCCTTCCCCGACCCCCCTGCTGCCCGGCAAAGCGGATCGGCCTCATCCATCCACCCCGTGCTGTCAAGGCCCTGGTGGGCCAAGCTGCCTGGCTTTGTCTGTCCCCCCCCCACCCACATGCCAGTGGGCCAACACATGTGACCTCGTCCCCCTGCTTACCAGAGGGGCGACGGGACAGGGTGGGCCAAGCTCCCTGGCCAGCCGCCTGCAGCACCTTGGCATCGGGTTGTGCCGGGCACTGGCGAAGCAGTCTCGTCAAGCCCTGCGGAACAGGCGGCAGAGGTCCATGCAGATTGTCGATGACCAGGGTTTTCTTGGTGGCGGCCCCATCCTGGTGGAATGAGCTCCCAGAGGTGATCAGGGCCCTGCGGGACCTCTTACAGTTCTGCAGGGCATATAAAATGGAGCTCTTCCACCAGGCTTTTGGGAGCCGCCGCCACCACCAATGATGAACAATGGATGGTTGAATGGGAGAGGGCCCTGGATTCCGGAAATTGCCACCAACAGCCTAAAGAACATCAAGCACTGCAAGGACAATCAAAATGAACACTGAGCTGACTGTGAGCTGAGAATACTGAATAATGGCTGCTACCATCATATGAACAACAATGACTACTAGCACTTTATTATGGTTTTAGAATTGTTTTAATTGCAACATGTTTTAATGTAATTTATCTGTTTTTATGTAAGCCACCCTGGAAAAAAAAACACCCTCCCATGCTCTCTTTGGTCATCATCTAGAAGCCTCTTGAAGGTGCCTGGCCCCAAGATGTCTTGGTTAGCTGTCACAGGGGAAAAGCCTTCTCAGTTATGGTCCCTACCCTGTGGAATGCACTCTTGTATGAGAACAACAACAAATGATACCTGTGCCCTGCCAGACTTGCTTAGTGTCCGCAGGGCATGGAAAACTGAATTATTTAAATTGGCCTTTGGAGGTTAACCAAATGTTTGGAGTGTTTTAATAGCGATATGGTGATAGTCACTTATTTTAATATTATAATGTTAATATTTTGTATTTGTTATTTTTATGTTGTTTTTTACCACATTGGTTTTAATGTTGTAAGTCATCAGAAGACCCTTCGGGTGACCGGTGACTAATAACTCAAATAAATAAATACAATTGCTCTGGAAACTGGGTACAGTAGGGGAAATGAAGATACAAATTGCTTTATGAAATGGTATTTTCAATGGCATACCACTGGAAGTATGGTGCTTTAGTGAAGATAAATGTAAGGAGGACTAACATAATGGGTCAGACCAATACATCTAGTTGAAAGTTCTGTTTACAGATAATAACTAGTTGATCTCTCCAAGAAGTCCAAACACATTGTGTTGGCAATATGTTGATAATACCCATATCTAGTAATCAGAAATACTTTGAAGAAGCTTGTAATGTGTAGTTTTTAGAAATCTGGTTGCAAATGTAGCTAAAATAATAGTTTTTCATTTCTAGGACTTAAATTGTTTAATGGAGAGATACCTGACACCTCTACAAAAGGAAACTTTCCTCACTCAGGAAGAGGTATGGTTTCTGTCTTAACCTTTGCAAGATATTGTTCACAAAAGTTTGTTGATGATATTCCCAAGCTGGTACCTCCTAAGAGCTTCTAAGCATGTATGGACTGATCATCAAGATTTAAAAAATTAGAATAAGACATTGTTGACAATTATGAGTCCAAACAAGTATGGATAATGTTTTGATGTCCAACTTAGTTTCAAAATGTTTCTTTCTCACCAGCTTGACATTCTTTTTGGAAATCTGACTGAAATGGTAGCATTTCAAGTAGAATTCCTGAAGACTCTTGAAGATGGGGTGAGGTTGATCCCTGACCTTGAAAAACTTGAAAAAGTCGACCAATTTAAAGTAAGCCTTTGTGGTTTTGCTGAAGAACTGTAATTAATTTACTAACTTTAAATGTTATTAAACCAGAGTAATTGTCTGAACAGCTTTTTTCAAACATATTTGAAAACCATCACTTCTGTTTGTTTTTGCAAATCATTTGCTAAGCAGGATTCTTGATGATGTTCTAATTAGAAAAAATAACACACTTCATTGCTGCTATAATGAGTGCTGTTTTGATCTACAGATAATTCCAGTATCGGCAAAGCCATATAAATGTAGTTACTCTACATCCAATTTCACATTTGAAGTTTTGTCAAGAAAGAGCTAGCAACAGAAATATAATTGCATAAGACCTTACTTCAGACAAGCTTCAAGTACACGATTTCCCGGAAAATCGTGAGGGAAAATTATTCAGAACAGTAAAATGTGCCCAGTTCTTTATGAAAAAATCATGCAGAAAAGCTGGTTGCATGTTACATTTTGGCTTCTTGTTTCTTTCTTTCCAAGTATTATACATAATTTAAAAGAAATGTTTGTAAATAGTAATATAAATAGTAAAGAACCATTATCATAATGTTGAAAAAATGATTAAGTATTTCATCATGTAATAGTGTTACCATATATATAATGGTATATGTAAGTTCTAGTGTTTTGCACAGAGTGTCACATGTATGACTATCTGCCCACTTGGGTGTGTGCTCGGCGCAAGGAGCTCCTGGTTCTCAGGGAATGTGTTTGCTCCCTTGAGGCCAAGGTGGCTGACCTGGAGAAGCAGAGACAGTCAGTTAGGCGTACAGAAAAGACTCTCGGGGACTTGTTAGATATCTCCCACTCTGGATCTGGCAGCCCCGCCGCTGTCAGGGAGCATGAGGGTCAAGGCGAAACAGGGCACCGTGCTGAGGATAAGGAGAATGTGCCCACAGAACAAACAGAGTAATGGAGGCTGTAAAAAGTAAAAAGAATTCCTTTAAGCAGTGGAAAGCTAGTCACAGTGAGGCTGATAAAACGGAACACAGGCTATGGCAAATAAAATGCAAGTCTGAGGTCAGGCAGGCAAAAAGGGAATATGAGGAGCATATAGCAAAAAACGTAAAAACCAACAATAAAACTTTCTTCAAATACATTAGAAACAGGAAACCAGCCAGGGAGGCAGTGGGGCCCTTGGACGACCAAGGGGTAAAAGGAGTATTGAAGGATGATAGGGAAATGGCTGAGAAGCTAAATGCATTTTTTGCCTCCGTCTTCACTGTGGAAGATGAGAAGTGCTTGCCCACTCCAGAACCACTGATTTCAGGAGGGGTGTTGGAAGACCTGAGTCAGATTGAGGTGATGAGAGAGGAGGTCCTAAAACTGATAGACAACTTAAAAACTGAAAAATCACCAGGCCCAGATGGCATACATCCGAGAGTTCTGAAAGAACTCAAATGTGAACTTGTAGATCTCCTGACAAAGATATGTAATCTTTCCTTAAAATCTGCCTCCATTCCTGAGGATTGGAAGGTAGCTAATGTCACTCCCATCTTTAAAAAGGGTTCCAGAGGAGATCCGGGAAATTACAGGCCAGTCAGTCTGACGTCGATACCGGGTAAATTGGTGGAAACCATTATTAAGGAAAGAATTAGTAGGCACATAGATGAACAAAACCTATTGAGGCAGACTCAGCACGGTTTCTGTAAGGGAAGATCTTGTCTCACTAACCTGTTAGTGTTCTTTGAGGGGGTGAACAAACATGTGGACAAGGGGGATCCAATAGATATTATTTACCTTGACTTCCAGAAAGCTTTTGATAAAGTTCCTCATCAAAGGCTCCTAAGTAAGCTCAAAAATCATGGGATAGAAGGACAAGTCCTTTTATGGATCAAAAACTGGCTAGTTCATAGAAAACAGAGAGTGAGTGTAGGTGGGCAATTTTCTCAGTGGAGGGTGGTAAGCAGTGGGGTACCGCAGGGATCAGTACTTGGTCCACTGCTTTTTAACTTGTTCATTAATGATTTGGAGATGGGAGTAAGCAGTGAAGTGGCTAAATTTGCGGATGATACAAAGTTGTTCAGGGTGGTGAAAACCAGTGAGGATTGTGAGGCACTCCAAGGGGATCTGTCAAGGATGGGCGAGTGGGCGTCAACATGGCAAATGGGGTTCAATGTGGCCAAGTGCAAGGTGATGCACATTGGAGCCAAAAATCCTAACTATAAATACACGTTGATGGGGTCTGAACTGGCAGAGACTGATCAAGAGAGAGATCTTGGAGTTGTAGTGGATAACTCACTGAAAATGTCGAGACAGTGTGTGACTGCAATAAAGAAGGCCAATGCTATGCTGGGGATTATTAGGAAGGGTATTGAAAACAGATCAGCCAATATAATAATGCCCCTATATAAATCAATGGTGAGACCTCATTTGGAATACTGTGTGCAGTTCTGGTCACCACACCTTAAAAAGGATATTATAGCTTTGGGAAAAGTGCAGAAAAGGGCAACTCGAATGATAAAAGGGTTGGAACACTTTCCCTATGAGGAAAGGTTAAGGCGCTTAGGGCTCTTTAGCTTGGAGAAACGACGACTGAGGGGTGACATGATTGAGGTTTATAAGATTATGCATGGGAAAGAGCAGGTAAAGAAAGAGGTACTTTTCTCCCTTTCTCACAATACAAGAACTCGTGGGCACTCCATGAAATTGCTGAGCGGTCGGGTTAGAACGGATAAAAGGAAGTACTTCTTCACCCAAAGAGTGATTAACACATGGAATTCACTGCCACAGGAAGTGGTGGGTGCTACAAGCATGGACGGCTTCAAAAGGGAATTAGATAAGCATATGGAGCTGAAGGAATCACATGAGACAATTCTCTTGAGGATAGAGAAATCAGTCTGCCCCTTAAGGCAGCAAGCAGTTTATTTTATGCACACTCTGCCCCCACCCCACTCACCGTGCGCTGAGGTTGGAATCACGTACAGAAACCAGAGGAAACAGATACTTTCAGGGAGATTGTCTTAGGGATGCTTACATTGGTACAATGATTAACAAGCGACCTTCTTTAATATGTCCATATGTGCAGGATGTGCAAAGGTCAAGACACTGGATTGAGCAGAGTTACTGATCCATCCAGATGTTTACAGAGTCTGGAAATATGGGCTAGAAATCAGGACCGGCGTGCCTAATCGCTGATCTTTGCCCACACTTCATGCTGACCCACTTTATGCTGACCCTTGCCTACATGGAGCAGAGGTCCATCAGTGGCTATTAGCCACAAGGTATAGCTAGGGGCTCTGGGGCAAGTGATGCTCTGTCTTCTTAGTGCTTGGGGGGGGGTCAACAGTGGGAGGGCTTCTAATGTCCTGGCCCCACTGGTGGACCTCCTGATGGCACTGGTATTTCTGGCCACTGTGTGACACAGAGTGTTGGACTGGATGGGCCTTTGGCCTGATCCAACATTGGCGTCTCTTATGTTCTTATGTTCTATAAATCATTGTGCTTACAGTTTACATACAAATAACCTTAGAATTTTTTTACTTTTGTCTGTCTTAAAGAAGAAGACAGGATTGTGTGGTAAAGGATCCCCATGAGGTGGATTTTGTCTGGGACTGTGGGTTAAATACATAATAAATTCAATCTAGCATAGCAAGTCTGTCTTCAAACCATTCTCTGCATATGGCAGGTTGATGGTCTGTGGCTGTACCCACCAGCCCTTTTCTCCTTGGAGGCAAAAGATAATTTTCCTCTGGAGCTAATCCCTCCCGCAGAAGTAGAAAGGCCTGCTTGTCCCTGGAAAGAAGAAAAATGTATGAACAAGACCAGAATTCTTTCATCAATCATAAAGTGCATCCATGTTGAGATCGCAAAAATTTGAGGGCGTAGATGAATATATGTGAATTCATAGTTAAAATGCTCTTTGTAAACAAGTGAAATATTTCCTTTTTACCTGCCCTTTTATTTACATCATTTAGGATGCAACATGTGCTGAGCTAATCTGTATTAAGTGATCTCTCTCACATGCTTAATTCTAGAGCCTGTGATTTCCTAATTGATTTAATTGACTGTCAAGACAGTATATTCTGAATTACAAAATTTCTCTTGCTCCTGTAATATTCTCAAAAGGTAGAAGAGAAAAGACATTTCTTCTGCACATTTTACTGCACATTTACCTTAATTCATCCAGTCTCTCAAAGGGGAAACTAATACTCCGTTTATATTCTCTTGATCCTAGAAAGTGTTGTTTTCCTTGGGTGGGTCTTTTCTCTACTACGCTGACCGTTTCAAGCTGTACAGTGCCTTCTGCGCCAGTCACACAAAGGTTCCAAAGGTCCTTGTGAAAGGTAAGAGCTGTCTGCACTTACTGTGATTTTTTAAATATAGCTTTCTCAAGATTCAGACTTCTTCAGCACAGCCTGAAGGGTCTAGGTGATGCTGAAATTACAGAGAGTAATTTCTGATGACATGTTGGGAGGGCTAAAGAATGCTCCTAAAAGGAGTAACATTGGTACTTTAGTGGGAGACAGCTCTTGATGGAATATCAGCAATAGAAAAAAAAATGTAAAACCCACACTGTTTTTAAGATGGCAAGTTTAAAAGAAAGAAACTAGGATAATAGGAGTGGAATATTTCATCCCATACTGTTTCCCGTATCCCTACAAAATTAAGTAGCCTGAGCTTAGAACTGTATGGTTGTGGTCACTTTGTGTACTAACACCCCAGTACCCACCTCTTCTCTGCAATGCAGGGGCAGGAGGAAACGAACTGCAGTGGAGACTCAACCAGTGGGTGGAGGAGAGGTGTTTTTCTCTTGCAACTTTGCTCTGGCTTCAGATGGGATGTACTGATCCTCCCTACCTGCTACAATTATTACTTTTTTCATCTTCAGTCAAACTTTTCCATTGCACTACATGCTGTAGATAATTCATTTTGACTCTGAGATGAGACCTGATTCATGCACAGTTTAGAGCAGCCTCCACAGAGCAGCATTTTAAATAGCTGTGAACTATTCATCAAATCAGACCTGTGATTAGGATGTCTATGGTTTTTTTAAAAAAAAGCTAATTAGCAACCCAGGCAACTGCTCTGAAGACCAGAGAAGGGTTGTGGGAGAAATGGTATTAAACTCTTTCCTCCCTTGCCCCTTCCATTATTTAAATAACTCATTCAAAGCTGCATGGGGTGGGGGTGGAGGAGACAGCTTCAGTGAGGGTATTTAAATGGTGGAAGAGAGAATGGTGAAGATCCTGATCACAGAACTTTCCAGTCATGCCTGGTTTGACACCTGGATACTCACTGCTTTGGTTGTGTGAGTTGTCCAGGTGGAGGTCCAGGTGGAGGGACATAATATATATATTTCCCAAGTGTGGCCCCCATATGTGGATACCTAAACCTGCGGATCGGGCCCACACTTACCCCCAAACATATTTTTCTGCAAACTTGGGGGAACCCCTAGGTTTGCAGACAAATCTGAAAAGTTAAACAAAAATCATTGGGAGGTTTAAATCCCCCGGAATTAAATAAAGTGTTGTCTGTGCATGTGCAGAAAGCACACTTACCACTGAGCAGCCGGAGAAGGACAAGGTTCTTGCTGCTGCAATAGCAGTGGCTGCAGCAGCAACAGAGCCTGGAAACCACCGGCAGGCCCAGCCATGGCAGCAGAGGCTGAAAGTCACTGGCAGGCCTGGCCATGGCCATGGTGGAACCTGGGAGCTACTCTGAGCCTGGCTGCAGCAGCAGTGTCTGGGAGCCACTCCAGGCTTGGCCATGGAGGTGGCAGAGTGGTGCAGGAGCTGCCAGCAGGCCTGGCCATGGCTGTAGTAGAGCCTGGGAGCCCCTCCAAGGCTTGGAGTGGCTCCCAGACACCACCACCAGTCAGGCAATGTGGGGGGAGAATGGGATTCACAGACCCCCCCACACTTGTTATTGTATCCAGCTTGCAGCCCTGGTAAAAGATCCACTGTGGTATATGCCCTGATAACATCAGATTATTGGAATGTACCTGGAGTCTGCAACTGGTACAAAATGCTATGGTCTATGTGTTGACTAGAGTGGGTTGCAGGGCAACCAACACTGGCTTCCAATTTGCTTCTGGGCTTAATTCAAGTTGTTGGCGTTTGACATTTAAAGCCCTATATGGTCTATAGGATCAACATACCTTAGGGACCACATTCAATGTCTTTTGCCAGCAGGTGAAGGCTTTTCCCCCCTCCATCTGGCATACCCCCCGTAATGGTAATTGGCCCTCCTTTTAATGTTGCTTATGTGTTTTTAATTGATTTTTATATTTTAACTGTACTTTAATTGTTTAATTTTTAAATGTTTTTTGTGTTTGCTGCCTTATGGATCCTGACCAGGTGGAAAGGCGGCATAAAAATGTTGTAAAATTGAGTAAATGTAATTGACAATTCAAAGATGTGCTTGCAACCTTTGAATATATGAATAATTTATTTTCGTTGCTTAATCTATTGAAGCCTTTACAAAACTGTATAGCTGTTACGGAACAGAAGAATTGTATCATTTATGTTTTTCTTAAAAAACTATTTTTAGAATTTTATATTTCACATTTAAATTTAAAATTGCTTTATGCACTCAAGTGATTAATCTTTTAAAGTAGGCAGTTTCTAGTGGCAGACTATTTTTGCAGAGCAGAGCAAGATAGGCTTCAGTTCTCTTGTTTTAAGCTACATGGGAATAATGTTTATTAAAAGGCTACAAAATTACTCATCGAGGTTCTCCATGAAATATTTATATATGCAAGGATATAATTATCTTATAGAACAGTCAACCTGTATACACTGTTTGCATATATTTTAACAAGAATGGCTTATGAGTGGAAGAGGAATTTAAAATTCTGTAGTGACTGTCTATAGTGGTGCCATCGAGGAAGCCTCATGTGTCTAGTGCAAGGAGGAGAGGAATCGCTCGCATGGCACATGGATGGCCTTGTGTATGAGGTTTACACACTATGAGAGACCCAGGAAGAAATATATCCACTAAATTTCCAGTACTGGAAGGAGGCACAATTCTTGCCAGTTCCTCCCACTCCATATCATCAGCTTGTCCCTCATGCTGTTCCTTAGGGATCTCATGCTCTTCCCCTCAGGATCTATGTTCTGGGAAGTACTTCAGGCTGCAGAGGAACTAAGTAGAAACAAAAAATCCATTCCACAGAATTTATTTATGTATTTATTCATTTATTTGATATTTAGCCCACTCTCCCCGCAAGCAGGCTCAGGGCAGATTACAAGATAGTTAAAATAATACATAATAGAATGTATGTGAATTGTAAGTAGTTAATTACATACATTAGCATGTTATTGCAGTGGTTAATGTATGTGATTGCTGATGTCGTAAAAGAATATTTAATACGGTGATCCCAATCGTTACTATTGTGACACATGTTAATGTCTTCATATTTTATAATTACAACCAATTTTCCCATTTTTGCAATTTGATAGTTGTATGGTCACTATACATGCACCTTTAATGCCTTTTATACAAACAATATCAGACCTCTGGTACTCAGTACCCCTCCTTCTCCCATTGTTACCATGTCACGTCTTCTTGATTTCCAGGTATTTTCCTTCCCTTTCTCACATATGCACTCACCTTTTCATATTTTTTTTGGTTAATGCACTTTGTGAAGAAGTCTCCATTGTGTTATAGATCATGTGTATCCCAGCTACAGTTTAAAGTTCATTGAGCTTTAAAATTCAATGCGTGCATAAATAATCTGTATTATCTTTAAAATATAATAGAGGTGAGCTTTTATAATGTTTTGAGAAGGTTTTTAATTTTTTTAAATCATTTAGCCAAGACGGACACAGCATTTAAGGCATTCTTGGATGCTCAGAATCCTAGACGACAACACTCGTCAACATTAGAGTCTTACCTCATTAAACCCATCCAGAGGATATTGAAATATCCTCTTCTACTGAAAGAACTCTTTGCCCTCACTGATGCAGAGAGTGAAGAACATTATCACCTTGATGGTAAGCTATGCAATAACAAAATTTAATATTTGGCTTTTGTTTTACCAACCCTTTCTCTAGGATATGATAACAAATGGATGCTAAGTCAACCATAGTATGTAATATATTTAATATATCACATAGTTATGTGAAACTATGTGATAAATATTGTCTATGGAGCTTTACTCAGTGCTTGCTGGGATGTTATGAAATTATGGCTGCTACAAGTTTTCATATATGTGGTCATCCTTCAAACAATACAGAAAAGATGCAGTCAGTTCACAACAGGTAGATCCATCTTTGCTGTAACACATGAGGTAGTTATCAGATTGACTTTCTCCCATTTTTGTTTCCACTCCCTTTCCTTTTATATACTTTCAGCCAGATTTAAAATTCTGTGTCTCTTTAGAAATCCCAGTCTGAGAGGTTTTGTGTTACTTCTCCAAAATGGGATCTCTGAGACATGAAAAGAGAGTAAGCTTTCGCCCCCTTCTCTCTGGTTGGAATGTAGAGGTTTACTTACTCTCCTCATTCTCTCTCTCACTAGAGAGGGCCACAGAATGTCCTATAGTTTAATGTGCAGTTTTCCTGCCATGCTTGCCTCCTTTGCCTAACTCATGAGTTGGGTTGTAGTCATGAACTCATGAGTTGTATGATGTATCATTGTGAGAGGCCTCCCCCTGAGTCAAGAGTACCAGTCAGTGTGTCAGGTCTCCCATTTAAGCCACTCTCCACAACACACTTAAGCAGTGGTAGTTTATTGAGATATGCCTACTTTTGGAAACATGATCTATGTCAGAACTGAGAGAACGCACGAAAAATCCTTAGTTATAGGTAAGGCAGTTAACACCCCACAATCTCATGCACACGTCATCATCCAGCCCCTAGGTCATTATGGCAGCCCTGACAGATATACCCCGCCTTATCTATTCTAGCATGGCAGAAGAGTCTCCAAGGTCAGCTCTCATGGGAACTGGCATTGAGGCACAGCTTAAAGAAATGGTTATGGCTTCTACAAGCATTCACTCTCAACACCCCATGCACTCCCCTCAGGAATTCCCTACCCCCAATATTATGGCAAGCAGTGAAGTGAATTATAAAGAAACAAAACTAAAGAGCTTGACACAGTGGAGGGAACCAATTGTTTTTTTCCCCTCCCTTTCCCACTTTGCCTGTTCCTAGCTTTTATATCTTGAGGCTGGAACAGGATAAGGATTAGGGATGCCACCAGTTTACCAACAAGCCTGTTCAGCATCCAGCTTTCCTTGTTCAACACTGACAATGAGATCTGTGAGCAGATCAGAGATATGTTCTGATTGCACTGAGCAACTCAAAAAGCTGTCCAACAAGTCTGTAGCTGCCTGTTGGTCAGAAGCCAACTCACAGATCAGTTTATCCACTCCTCCCCCTCACAAAATAACTGTACAGTGAAGGTGCAAATTTGCAACAGTGAAGTTGCAAAAGAAAGCGCTCCAAGGGGGTGGCAGGAGGGGATAGAAGCAGTGCTTTTAATGTCCTGCAAATTTTCCAGGATAGGAGATCAGAAAAACATAATTTTCAGCTGATCATCTGGGAGTAAACTCATGACTCTTAACCACCACCACCACCACCAAATAAACATTGCTAGGTAGGAGACCAGCAGGAGACCAGGAGCCAAATTCTAGTTGATCCTTTATCAGTTGGGTGACAGCTTCTGATGGCTGCAAATTGGGGTTGCCAGCCCCCAGGTCCAAGCAGAGGTTCACCCACTTTTGGGGACTCTAATCTAGCTGGCCAATGGGGGAAGGCCTGCCCCCAAGAGCAGCCACCCCCACCACCCCCTCCCTCCCCTCCTGCCTGATTTAAAGGGCTTCAGCTGATCATGGGGGCCACAGTACGTGGGCCTGCCTGATTTAAAGGGCCCTCCAGCTGGTTAGTGGGCCACATTGTCCCCACCAATCAGCTGAAGCCCTTTAAATCAGGCAGGAGGAGAGGGAGAGAGGTGGTCTGGCAAGTGGTCACTCTTGGGGGCAGGGCTTGGGGCGTCCCCGCCGACCCTTGGAACACCCCCCAAATCCCTCCACTGGAGTGATGAGGGGACTTGGCAACCCTACTGCAAATAGCCTGTTCCTGCAGATACACACAAACAGGTTGTGAACAGCCAAACAGCCCATTGGTTAATTGGCTGCCTGATCAACCCTGGCAATTGGGAAGTGAGCAAAACTTGCAGGTATTCAAGCAACCCTAGTAGGGATGCCCTCTCAGCCTCCCTAAGAAGTGTTATATTCTTCTATGTTTTAGAAATTGGTCCTCTAATTTTGAATCTTTTCTCTTAGTGGCCATTAAAACAATGAACAAAGTTGCCAGCCATATCAATGAAATGCAGAAAATCCATGAAGAATATGGTGCTGTGTTTGATCAACTTATTGCAGAACAAACAGGAGACAAAAAAGAGGTAGGGGCTTGTTTAGAAAGTTTGCAAGATTCATATTGATAAATAGGTATCTTTGTGATTTATATGTAACTCTATTTATAGTACTGTTTTAGTCCTGACAAAATATAATCAGTAACTATATAAAATATTAATTTAGATGTTTCTGGCCAATACATAGAAACATTCTGAACTTTGTAAAACAAATAGTGGTTGCAGATATTCAAAATTAAAGGGGCCTTTGTTATACAGTTATCATCCAATCTCTAGGAAGCACTCTCATACAAATTTGGTGCCCCAAACCACTGCTTATTTATACTTGAAGGGAAAGTTCTGTTGCAGCCAGTTCACAAGGCTGACACTGTAACCTGGGAGGTAGAAGTCTTCGGTGGAAGGAATAGATCAAATTCCACAAAACTCTTAAGTAGTGAGAGAGAATATTGTAAAATAGAAGCTCAGAAAATGAATGGGTAAATAAATTGCAAAACCATTCAGAAGCTGCATGTGTTTAACATGTGATGAGGATGAATCAGGATTTAATTTGAGCCACAGCTCATTGTGGCTTAGATCCTGAACCTGTTTTTTTTGATGCAAGAGAAGTATGAAGTTGTATTATAACAGAGATGGTCAGAAGAATGTCTTTTTTTCTCACCACTGTGCTTCCACAGTACACCTCTCTGTAATGTATCAGAATCTGACGGTGAGGAAAGGTGTTCAGATTGGAGAGCTTAACTGAAACTGCTCGGACAACCATTGTTAGAGAAATTAGGTAGGGGTTAAATACTCTTCAACTGACCAGTATTATAAAGGCAATATTGAATATACAACTATAAACAATAAACACAAGACAGAATGTAAGAATTGCCTTGGTGGATCAAACCAGTTGAGAGCCCAGGAAGATCCCAGAGAAGACATGACAGGGTTACAGGGAACTCTTGTTGCATTTATTTCCATGCATTTGGTAATCATATGGAGATGCTATTTAGTTTATGTAGAGATTGAAGCAGGAGGCAAGTATCGTATGCAAGAAGAGATGAGGAAAGTTTTTTTAACAGTCATATTAAAGAATATAAGAAGCAGGCCTCAGTAAATCCTCATTTAAAACTTCTACTAAAAATCCTTCAAAAACACTTCCTACAAAGTAAAAGCTTGCTGAAAATGTAATTTTTTTACAGCTGCTCTGGAAACTAAGTAGGGAGATGGTTTTCTTCTCTTCTGTGGGGAGTAAATTCCAAAAAGCCAATGCCATCATCACTGACCTATTTGGTGACAAGAATGAACCATCAAGAAAAGTTGTTAATAAGATCTCAGCAGCAGGGTGGACTCATTGGGAAAGAGGCAGTCATTCAAGTATGTGAGTTTCAGACCACAAAAGGCATAAAGATTAATGCCAGGCTTGAGCCTGTACAAATCAGAAGCCTGTGCAATTGCTATAGCACAGGCTGAATACCCAGTCCCTGTTAAACAATATGCAATCATGTCCTGCACTAGCTGAAGTTTCTAAGTTGTCTTCAAGGGCAGCCCCATTGCATTAATGCACCAAAGTACTCAAGTCTGAAGGTTAGTGGTGGATTGACATGACAAGATCAGCTCTGTCTACAAAATGTAGAAGATAGAGATGGAGAAGAAAGCATTTTAGCTGTATCAGCAACCTGTTTATCAATGAGTAATCTGACAAGACCATGATATTCTTTATCTTCATGGTTAAGAAACCTGGACACCATTGACTTTAAAGCTATTCATGTCCTGCATAATAGCTGACTTCCCAATCAGCACCCACTCGGACTTGGCTGGTGTAAAGTCTTTTGCTTAGAGCTGCAAAGCACACTGGCAGTACTTACTGCTCAAAGTCAGTTTCAAACCATTATTTATTTATTTGGCTTATATCCCGCCCTTCCACATGGGCTAAGGGTGGCTAACAAGAGGCAATTGCCATACATAACACTAAAACCAGATGAAACAATCAAATTACATTTTACATTTAAAATCGGTGCTCGCAACAATATATCATCCAAGACGGGGACTCCAATACAATGTTTCAGAAGGTACTACTGTCTCTTCTTGATCGGTCTGCGCTCTGTCCGTTCTTCATTCCCAAGGCCAGTTCGCATCGCCAAAGATGGCAACGCGATGGTGGTACAGTGACGATGGTGGCTCCTACTCAAAAGCCTGGTGGAAGAGCTCCGTCTAGCAGGCCCTGCGAACTGCATAAGGTCCCGCAGGGTCCTGATCTCCTCCGGGAGCTCATTCTACCAGATAGGAGCCGCCACCGAAAAAGCCTTGGGAACTTTATTATTTATTAAACCAGTGTTTTGTTTAGCATTGCCCCTTTTATCTCTGGCCACTGGCAGGTTGCAGATCTTTCTATGGGAGACTTGCTTTTGCATACCACAGTAATCTGGCTTAACCCTCCTGCGTCTCTTGGGAAGTGGAAGAAGGAACCTGAATTGGCAGCATTTGGTATGTATTATTTTCCCAGAAAGAAAGCAGATGATGTTGTTTCACCTAGAACTTAAATAATGAATATAAGCAGTTGTTTCCAGAACATGCTTGTAGGGAAGTTTTCTTCCTTTTCCGTTTAGTGCTCTACTTGTAATGTTTCTGGGTTCCAATACAAACACCAGATGAATGAGGAGTGATTCAAACAGTTTTAATCTAAGGAGCAATTCCAACAGGTTTATGCAACTAGCTGAACTGGCTGCTTGAACATGTGACCTTAAGGTTTTTAAATGAACACACTAGACTAATATAAGGGAATATCTTGAAATTATAAATTCTATCACAGTACTACTGAACGCGGACATAAACTGTATGAAACGGGACTTCTCTAAACTGTGAAATGAATGCTGCTCTGTGCAATGAATTACTCACAATATCTCTTTTGCGGTCCAGATAGGCTGAGGGATCCGGGTGGGCTGGTCATGGCCATCATGTAGTTTGTACCATTTGACTCTAGTGAACACATACCATTAGCTCATTTGATCCCCAAAGTGTCTTTTTTCATGAGTGAAATGTATGAAGAGTCAGGGAGAGTCAGGAGTAACCATATGGGTCTGTTAAGAAAAACAAAAACAAATGGAATGTATGGCATTTTAATACTAGCACATCTTTTACTACTAACAGCATCTTTAAATACTAAATACTTTTTATGAACTAGTGCCCACATCAGCAAAGATATACCACAATAATTCTCTTAGTCTTAAAGTGCCGCAAGATTCTTTGTTGTTCATGCTGCAAAGAAATTCTGCTAAAAATTGCTTAGCATTCTTGTGAAACAAATGGCTAAAATCAGATTTTCCTTTGAAATAATTCATGCTGCTAACATTCTTGTTTCTAAAAGCATTTAAATAGCCAAAACAGTATTTACTATAACATTGTGATTTGGGTAGACAATGTACTGGATAAATACAAAACAGTATGTAAGCAGCATTCAGTAAATTGTTTATTGTTCCAGCTGTTAGAGTCTCAACATTTGCTAACTACTTTGTTTATTTTCTTATAGCAATATCTATAAATAGAATATAGTGATGTGTCTTAAGAGAGTAATATTTCTAGGAATTACTATAGGCATTTGGGTATTTAGGAATGCACCTGTCTCTAACTGAAAAGAGTGGGGACAGTCACTCCCAGGAATCCTGAGAGGCATCATGAGGCTCCCATATTAAAATTTTATCTGGGCCCTGTCTTGGCTGTCAGCATTCCTGGGCCCCCTCACACTGCCCACTCAACCCTCACTTCTTGTTAGCACAGGTAAGCTACTAATTGCCTGTCGTTGTGAGCACCATATCTTTTCCCATTATATTTTGTCCTTCCTCTAAGGAGCTTAGAGCAGTGTACATGGGTCCCACTCCCAGAAACAGTGAACATACCAGAGCCATCCTTTCTCTTTTCTCCTCTTCAGTAAAGCAGCAGCTGAATTTATTGCCTCACCTCATGAAACTGGGGCCCCCACAGTCCTTTCCCTCCATTCTCCACTCTTGAAGGGTGCACAATTTGTTTCCTACTGAACTATATTCTCTCTCCTGTTCATATGTGGAAGGTTAAGAAAAATTATTGACTCTTGATGTTTTCACATTTTCTAGTATTCAAAACTGCTGTGGTTCTTGTGTATAAAGATGGCTCCAAACAGAAGAAAAAACTGGTAAGTTTGTAATTGATGAAACCAATGGAGCTAGTCTCCTTTGAGTAATCAGGAAGATATATTAGGGGGGGGGTTGATTAATAATATCTCCTGCCATAGGAGGCATCTTACAAAACAGCTAAGTTAAAAAGATTAAAAACAAATTTAAAAAATACAGTAATTTGTATTTGCATTTGACTCTCCCTTCCTGCCTGTAAACTTGCAACATATACAGAGAATGGGGTATGGATGGGTTCTTTGTGTCTTTGTCTTGAACTGTTACAGAAAGCACCATGATCTCAGACTCTTAAAAATCCTAACTTTAAAAAACATTTTCTGGGATTTTGGGGGGATTTGAGGGAACCCTGGGCACCCCAGCTCCAAGGGGATCCAAGGAGCCACCCTCAGCATCCATTCTCCAAGTCAGCAACGCAAGCAGTGCCTTTAAGGCAGTGCTGGCTGGCCATCTGGTTTACAGCCCTTTAACAGCCCGCTGCCTGACAATCTGCTGGGAGCTACCCTTGAGCCTCTGGTGGGGAAACAAGAGTATGAGTCGCAGTTAAGTTGCAGGTGGCAACTTCCCACAGGAACTACTCAGATCTCATGAGAGTTCTGGGGGGGGGGGAGCCACCAAAGGGGGCTGGCATTCATAAGGCAAAGGGAAAGTAACTAAGGAGGACATGCCAGCTCTTTCTGCTCAGGTTGAAGGGAGCAGGGTCAGGAGAAAGATGAAGGGTAAAGGGTGAAGGAAAGCAGCTCTCAGTCTGAGGTCTGTGGGACAGTAAGCAGTGCTCCATGCTGGCAAGGATCTGCCAGACACAGGTAGGATTAGAGGGGTTTTTTTAAGCCTCAAGGGGAAATGTCTGATATTTTTGTCTCGACTTGAACATAACTTCAAAGAATAAATCCCCTCATTTGCCACAAAAGGAAGGAAAATAAAGTCATGGCCACACTTGCATATGTGCTTTGCATTCTGGCACATCACCACATGTTCAAATTGGTAGGTAAAGACAACATCAGGGCGTCTTTTGACTGCCAGAGCTCAGCACAAGAACATTAAGTAACAGAGCCATCTGACCATCTGCAAAGAGTCTTTTGTATTCATGGAATAGTTATTATGACCATATTGCACTAAAAAGCTCTGCGATAAATTATATGGCAAAAGCCAGTTTGGGCAGCTGCTGCTACTTCTGCAGATCTTTGGGTGAAAGGACAACTGTTGTTCAGTACTTGACTAACAATGAGAAACATTTAGTAGACCTTGAGTCACCATCAGTTCTGTATTCTTGGTGTTGGCAATACTTTTCAAAACAGCGTTTTGCATTAAAAAGTGCCTCACATAACATATGGCAGAGAAGGGAAGCTGGGGTTGGGCTAGTGATATCTAGTAATCTGATTCCTTGTAAAGTTGACAGGGATATGCTGCCATTCCAACAGGGAAGATTTTTATCTGGTTTTCTGGTTCCAACACAATACTTCAGTGTTTCTAGTTCAAATTCTCTAGTAGGTATTTCCTGATCCACTTCAAGCCTCCAGCATGAAATGAAGTGCCAGCATTACAAGCACTGTTCAGTTTTTCCCCACTATTCGCTCTTTCCTAGGGCGGATCACATAGGGCTTCAATCTATGAAGACTCAGACCCCTTTCGTTTTCGTCATATGATACCTCTAGAAGCTCTGCAGGTTCGAGCACTAGCAAGTGCAGGTAAGTGTTGGGGAAATTGTTTGTTTTATTTGGATGTTTTCTACATTGCTCACTGTCAAATATATGTCTTTTGGTTTGACAGAAGACCTTGTAATACCAATTCTAAAATATCTGTGTTGGTTATTTTGTTACTGGGACCATTTCAAGGTTAAAATCCCTGTAGGATCTGGGCCTTGAAACCTGAAGGAAGCCTTGTGCATCCAGATCCTCAAAGGAGGCTATTTCGCCAGTGTTCTTGTCATCTGAGTTGCAGTGGGTGGCTGTAAAATTTCAAATCTTGTCGCTTGTACTGATGTGATGAAACTCCCTACGCGAGATGGCTCACCTGGTTTCCTTTCAGTTAGCATTTAGAAGCCAGTAATATTTTATTTTTATATAGGATGGCCTTCTTATGAATTTTAGTTAATAATTTTAATCAAGAGAAACACGGTTCAAATTCACATGCAGCTGTCTTTTAAATGTTGGATTTATTATGACTAATGGTTGCATTACCTATTGAACAGATGAATAAATGGTAATAATCTAATTTTAAAATCCTAGAAACCCTGTCTAGAAGAACCCTTTTCCTCATGCTGCTTTTATAATGGTGACAGGAGTATTTTTACATCTTTGCATATAAAATAACAACCAATTTCATTTAGTAGTTCCCACATACAAGTAGAGAAAGTATCTCACGACACAAATGCATCAACACTCATGAGTAGGCTTGCCAAGTGCCCACTTATGGCAGGCAAACTCCTGGCATTTTTGGTGTACTGATCAACTGGTTTAGAAACAAATTGTCACATTTGGTTTCCTATATGGAAATTAGAAGTCAGTTTGGGTTGGCACTAATGCTCATCTGATCCTTGTCTGAATGTATTCTAGACTTGCATTGTTCAGCATCTCAAGTATCAGTAAATTCTGTTGGCTTACCCTAAGTTTCAGAAATTACTATCCTGAAAAATAAGTAGACTCTTATAAAAGTTAAGAGACTCTTTTAAAAGGTTATGAAACATGTTTTCCTAATGTGAACTACTAGTGTACATGGGGCCTAGCTGTAAGGGCTTGTTAGGTTCATTGCTGTGAAAGATGAATCTTATTGAGCAGTTGAAAGTCCAGTATCAAGCAAAGAAGCAGCAGGAAACTGTAAAGCAACTAGCAGAGTGGTTCTAGGACTAGTGAGGCTACTGTATTTTTCCCTTTTGCTCTCTGCAATGGAATGAGGACTCAATACAACTTTATGGTAGAAAGTGGTAAAAAGATAATTCCTGGATAGTTTCTTACAGGTTTCCTTTGAGTAAGTTTTCATTTATATGTTACAGATACAGATATAATTATATTTCTGAATCTGCTGAAAGAATGCTTATCTTCCTGTGGTAATGGTCTATGAATCATTAGTGTTAATTTCATTCTGACTTGAATAAAGCCACTATACAAAGTCAACCTGAAAGTAATGGAAGCAGCGTTGTGGCAGTGGTTAGCCAATTACACCATTGGCTGTGGTTGTTGTTAAGCACTAGGACAAAGTTATCTATACTAAGAAGGTTTGTGTATTTAACAGCACCTGAATGCCATTGTCTTTAGAGCTGCTTACTGTGTGAAATAGCCCCAAGAATGCGCAGCATGGTATGGAGGAGCTCCCCATGATGAAACTTATTTACGTGGCAAGATATTTTCACATATTTCACACCCCATAGAGACAACAGTGTTTCCAGCACAGCCTCATTGCCATGTAATGTATGAATCTGCCCCTACTGCCATGATTAAATTCACTAAACTAATGGTCACAATATAGGCTTGCCAAGTCCCCCCCGGGGGGCAGGGAAACCCCCACCCCAGAGGCCCGTTCCCCGCCGCCGCGGGATCGGGCCCCGGGGGGAACTCCACCCCGACGTGCACGTCACCAGGAAGTGACGCAACCACGCTGGGCATGCTGGGGCGGGGCCACGGTCATCCGAGGGAAAACTCTATGATTTTCCCTTGGATGGTCGTGGCCCCACCCCCAGCGTGCCCAGCGTGGTCGCGTCACTTTCCTGGTGACGTGGATGTGGCGCGCTACAGGATCAACCCAGGAGTCCCCCGCTTCAGGACGAGGTACGACTTGGCAACCCTATCACAATACCAGATTACTTGAAATCTGTTCATTCACAATACTGAGATAATATAGTACATACTGATCTGCTTGAAATTGCATTTATTAAAAATGTTCTCTGTATTTCTAGATGCAGAGACCAATTCTGTCTGCGAGATAGTTCATGTGAAATCAGAGTCTGAAGGCAGGCCAGAGAGGTCATTCCATCTTTGTTGTAGGTAAGAGAGCGTTGCTTTTTAATAATTGAAGAGGAGGACATGGGTCTGGGTTCACATCACACATCTGCCATGGAGTCACTGTTCCCAGTATGATAAATTAGAATAGTGACACTGTTTTGTTCTTAAGGGGGTGAATACTGCAGTGAATACTGTAAGCTACAATTTGGACTAAAGATAATAAAATATGAACACAAGCTCTGTTGTTAGCTTGGTGCCTGACTCAAATTATTTTTTTCCCCTTTTCAGTTCACCAGAACATAGGAAGGATTTTCTGAAGACTGTACATTCAGTTCTACGTGACAAACACAGAAGGCAACTCCTTAAAACTGAAAGCTTGCCTGCATCCCAGCAGTATGTTCCTTTTGGAGGAAAAAGATTGAGTGCTCTAAAAGGTGCAAGGCCAGCTATGAACAGGGCAGGTACTGTAGGGTTACACATTTTCAAGATCCTGGTAAACCACCACTATCGTAAGACACACCTGAATTTCTTCTTCATACAAAATTTAGGGCTAGTGTTTAATGCTCCCCATGAATACACCCCTCACTCAACTAACACATATTGGTAGGATTCCTTACAACTGGAACAAGCATCCTTCAAGCTTAAGATATCCAGGTAGGATTCTCTTTAATGCCCACTGGATGCTTTACCAAGTGGCAAACATTTTAATTTAGTTAAGCAACAAGACCCATTCAGATGACTTCTTTTAATATAGAAATTCATACATAATAGGAGATGTTGAGTCAAGAGAAGAATTCCAAGACTGTTGACATGTCAGCTTCAGTAGACAGTAATTTCTTTTTCATATGTTGTCTGTTCAAAACAAACAAAGCTGCTCCGACGACCTGCAATGATTGATTTTGGATTTCCCCCCTGTAGTGTGAGGAAGATAACATATATGGCTTCGGGGAGATGGTTACAGTTTCAGTTGACCTTCAGCAAAGAAAATTGGAAATCATAGGAATTCAAAACCCAAGGCAATAAAATTATTTGAAAAGAACACGCTGCTTTACTGGATTTCTATACTGCCTCTATCTGAGTAGAAAATTAACCTTGTCTCCTAGATGTTGTGTCCTATTTTTAACAAGCCAATAACATTCACAGCATGACTTCTGCAAACTCTGTACCTCAGAGGTACAATTAATGAGGAGCTCCAAGGAAAGACAAAATGGGCCAGTGGACTGCAGGGCCTCAATCGTTTCCTGCTGGCTTCTCATTTCCTAAATATCATTATCTTTGCCTAAAGAGATTTTGAACCATATAGACCAGCAGGGGTGGCCAAACTTGCTTAACGTAAGAGCCACATAGAATAAATGTCAGATGTTTGAGAGCCACAAGATATGAACAAATATTACAGGCACGTTTTTATTGGAAATATGCAAATTTGCTTTTTGTTAACATTAAATGAGACTGCCAACAATAAAAACAAAAGGGGTGAAAACAGATATTGATAATATTTATTTGTCCAATGATATTTATTTGTCTAACAGAGAGAAGCCACTTCCACACTGTCATTTTTATCACTCGTTTGTCCCTATTGCTTCAGGGCTCCCTCCCCCCCAAAGTGTTTTGCTCTCTCTAGTAGCCCCAGAGGGAGAAAAACATGTGTGGAAAAGAGGGGGCAAAGCAATAGGGACAAAAGAGTGACAAAATGACAGTGCGGAAGTGACTAAAGAGAGAGAGAGAGTTGGAAAGAAAGAATGAGTTAGAGAGAGAGAAAAACAAAGAAAGCAAATAGATAAGGGAGGGAGGGAAGGGAGAAAGAGAGAAAAAGAAAGAAAGGTAGAAAGCAAGCAAATAGATGGGGGAGGGAGGAAGGAAGAGGAAAACAGAAAGAGAGAAGTGGAAAGAAGGCAAATAAATGGGGGGGGAGGTGGAAAGTATGCAATTTTAACTTTAAATGTGTTCTCCAACCCCCCCCCCCTCATGACAGCTCGCTTGGCTTAGAGAAAGGATTTAAAGAGACAAATGCCTTCTCCAACACAGTGGACTTGGAGAACAACTTTAAAGGTGTTCTTCAAGCCCCCCCCCCCGCCCCCACTGCTGCACCAGCTTGGCTTAGAGAAGGGATTTAAAGAGACAAATGCCTTCTCCAAGCCAAGCCAGCCGGCTGGTGTGGCAGTGGGGCAGGTCTTGGAGAACACATTTAACTTTAGATGGGGAGGGAGGAGAGAGAGAGAGAGAGAGAGAGAATAGATGGGGGAGGGGGAGGGGGAAAAAGCAACATTAACTTTAAATGCATCCTCCAAACCCCCCTCCCCCCACTGGCTGACTTGGCAAAGGGATTTAAAGAGACAAATGCCTTCTCCAACCTGACTGACGGGGGCTTTGAGAACGCTTTTAAAGTTAACATTGCTTTCTTTCTCTGCTTCCCCCCCCCCACACCTCAAGCCTACCCAGGGAGGAGAACAATGACTGGGGAAGGGAAGATGGGTCAGGGAGGCATGCCTCCCCTTCACTTCCCCAGCTGCCCTGCCGGGAGCTGCCCAATATGTGTGAAAAGGCCACACGTGGCTCCCAAGCCACAGTTTGGCAACCCCTGATATAGACTCTCACTCTCCCCTTTCTAAAACCTGAATTGTTAGTGATATAGCTTCAGGTTTGAGATATTTGTGACAGGGCCTTCAGAATTATTAATTCCTTTTCAATCAACCAGGCCAGAACCGTGATTACAATGTATATCCTCCTCTTATGCCTATTCAGTCAACTCCCTGGAATCCTATGCCTTGCTGAAGCTGGAAGTAGATTTTAGACTCGCATGTGTCATCCTGTATTCTTCCCCACATCCCTTACCATTTGTAGGCCATAACACAGGAACCACAAGCCATCTTTAAAAACATATGAAGAATCCAACCCTGCGATCCTAAATCGACTGGATCAGAGATAGCATGTTTTGGAATAAGCCTAAAAGCTATTCCTGTTCTCACCATGTATATCCATTCCTAGGGATATCATTTTACCATAGTCTGCAATCTCCCAATATCTTCTTAATTTAACTGGAAATAGTGGAAAGTTGCTTTCCACCTCAGAAAGGATGGTCTGTAGCCTGTACTGAATGCACTGTAATATGATCTGCATTATAAACATAGTACATCTTAGGCCAATGCATATTTTGTAGCAAACGTATTTAAGTTAACTGCTTATTGTATATAGAACACTTATGTTTGACATAGTGATGAATGAACTCCCCACCCCACCCCCAGTTGCCTCAGAAATAAGGCTTTTCCAAGCTGTCTCAGAGAGTTCTTTTTCAAAATAATATCAAGTAATTCTGAGCTTTTCCTGAGAACGCTTGTAAATCCCCAGCAGATTGCCCATAGCTTGTTTGCGAGGCATCCTCCATCCAAATAAATGTACCTTTATGAAGGGGTGGAGAAACCAGCAGAAAGTGGTTTCAGATAACAATAGCAGCTGTTAGAACTACTAGTCTACTCAACCACAGTCTCCAGCAGAGATACTGTAAACCCATTAATGATTATATGCCTTTCTGAAGAGAAAAGTTTTACACAGCTTAAAAAAAAAAAAGGGACTGATGCTGGTTTCCAACATTTCACAGGGTGGTTACCAATGTTCCCTCTAAGCTGTGGAGTCCTGTGAGCAAAATTTTTACTGCGTGAGCTACTTGCATTAAAGTTGTGAGCGAGCGATTTGGCTACTGCATAAATTAGTTTGCTCTGGAGCCATCCTTCCTCAGTGAGGACAAAAATGTGTGAGCTGGAGGCTAAAAATCTGTGAGCTACCTCACACTAACTCAGCTTAGAGGGAACAGTTGTGGTTATGTCCCATTATCCTAGTTTGAGAAGTTGAGTACTGGATTCCCCCCACACACACACTGGTGAAAATTCTGTGTGTAGAAAGTGTTGGTGTAAAAATGGTTAGCTCTTCTTGAAAATAATAGTTTGTAAAAGCATCTGGGGTTTTATTTTTGTGTGTGCTCAGTGTCTGCTCCAAGCAAGTCCCTTGGGAGAAGGCGGCGGCGACTGGCTCGGAACAGATTCACGATTGATTCAGATGCCGTCTTCGCCGACAGCCCTGAGAAAGAATCTCAGCAGGCATCCAACAGCAAAGACACTGATCGCTGGGTAGAAGAACAGTTTGACCTTGGTCAGTACGAGGAGCAGGAGGACATAAAAGAAACAGATATTCTCAGTGATGACGATGAATATTGTGAGCCTTTGAGGGGTACGATGGTTGAAAAAGAACTTCAGGAGCAGTTGCAGGCGGCCTCCATTACAAGCAACCAGTTGTACCGAGGAGACAAAGGGCGCTATCCCATGGGTTCTCATGCTTCGAGAATGGCTCAGTTAAAGAAACAAGCTGCTCTGTCTGGAATTAATGGTGGTATGGAAGGCAATGAAGAAGTCATTTGGGTTCGTCGTGAAGATTTTGTGCCGCCCAGAAAACTGAACACCGAGCTTTAGACCTATGTTTTCCCTGTTAGATGGTAGACATAGACGTGCCCTCGACCCACCCCTTACACAGTGTGGAGAATGCTCCTTTAGAATGCACACTTGCACATACAGTGATGGCAGCTAAACTGGTTCAAACCACACAGCCTCTTTTTCCCCCTTTAAGGTAACGTATATTAAGTGGGGAGCAAACAAAATTTTGAAATGGAATGAGCTTGAGTCCTTCTCTGTACATTACCAAGGGCTTTATTTATTCTAAACTAATCAGGGGTAGCATATTGAATTGGGATGCATTGATATTACTAGAAAACATATTGCTGTGGGTTTTAAAAAATATATATGTGCAGCAAGTTAGCTTAAGTGATAGCACAAGCAGCAAATGACTTTTTTATGTGACATGTCAATCATGGGTTCATCTCCTTAAACAAGAAGCTGCCTTTTCAGACTCCATAGCTGCAGGATTCTTAAATCTTTTTTAATCTTAAGGTTTGAAGATTCTTACTCCAATCCAGCAAGGGTGATTCATGCACAGAAAGAGGCTTCCATGCATGAGCCATCCTTCTTGACAAGTGGAATTGTTGGAAACCCATTGCATCCAACTTTCAGGGGTACGAACGGGGTGTTCCTGCAGTGTACGTGCACTGCTGGACAGATGTGTGATGCTGTCAGCTCTGGCTGTGATCCAGTCACTTGTGAGGGTGGGCCTTGAATCAGGCTCCCCTTTTCTTTTCCTTCAACAAATATTCAATACTGAAAGCACTACACATCTGTTTGGCACAGGAAATCTCTTGCATGCAGTAGTATTCACAAAGCTTACTGACGCAAGAGAGGATCTTTGGATCCAGTTACATCATGTATATTTTAGGAATGTGTGAGGAAAAGCTTGGAATTTTATGTTGTGTCGTTTTTTGGTTGGGTTTTTTTTGGGGGGGGGTCTGTGACTAGTCTAACTTAATGTCAATGTTTGAAGTTCTAGTTTTACATAAATTATAACAATGCCAAACTCTTTTTTATTTTAAAAAAGAGATCCAAATTGAACACTTGAAAAAGATATTTTTCTGTATTTTACCTGAAATGCAAGGGCACAAAGGGATGGGAATTTTACAGTGTTAGTTTTGGTCTTGGATTTAAGGCTGCCCTTTTAGAATGGGTTGAATATTTTGGTTTTACAGTAACATTCTGAATTGGAAACTCTTAGGGATAACCTTTGCTTTAAAAAAAATGAACAGTTGTATATGTTTAAGACTGGAATTGATTTAACAATGTCAATGTATAGCTGAGAAACCAAGTAGGTTAAATAAATCTCTGCTGTAATTCTGTTGGAATTAGCAGGTTTACATCTAGGATGAGTTTGATCCTCTGTGTTTGAAGTTAGAGCTCAGGAAAAATGGATTATTTTATGGCCAAAAAACTGACCTCATTGTACTTTCTTCTCCTATGTGAAATTAATATCCTTTTACTTTCTTACTAGATTTTTTCCCACTGCAATAGGCTATGAACAGTGTTCTAAACAAACAAACCTCTTTACAATTTTAAACCTTTTATTTAAACATCTACAACAGGGTAAAATGTGACTAAACTCTGATGTTCAGTAGGTTCCCAAATAATTTTGAAAAAAGCACTTTTTTCTTTTAAACTATTTATATAGTTTTCCCATTTTAATTTTGACCTACACAAAAGGGGGGATTTTTTTTGAGGGGGATCGCTTTTTGTATCTATTGATGTTTGACACATTAGTAGGTATGTTGAAAACCTAAAATTTTATAATAGCTTTAGGGATTATATTTTATACAATCAGCTGTGACTATATTTTGAGATGTGAGCAGAAAATATTACTCAGCAACATCAGCTGTCTGATGGCCCAGCCAACATTGGACTCCCTACCTGTCTGGTTCTCTGTGCACTACTCTAGTGTTTTGAAAGTTTTATTCTCTGAACTTTTGCTATATTTTCATTGTTTTCTTAAAAAGCTTTAGTGAGATTTCTACACCCTACGTATATCATTATATTTAAACTCAAGTCAGTTGTGTACCAACTTATTAGACATAACAATGTTTTAGCTGTCCCCAGTGGAATACAGTAAGCCTGTGAAATGCTGGACGTCCTGTGCTTGGAGGGTGCCATTGTTCTTGTACATAATGTCATGACCTGTCGATGTCAAAGGTTCTTATATATTTCTTTTATAAGCTAAAAGAAGGTCTATTTTTATGTTTTTAGGTATATGAATGGAACGTTGTAAATGCCTGTCAAATAAAATAATACCAAAAATCATTGTGTTGTTGTGTTTGTGGTTATCTTGATTTGCAGTATATAGGGCTGTATTTGCCTTGTAGCAGAGCAATAGGCTCAGCGCTATTAAATTTAAGGACTTGTCACTTAAATTTAGGTCACTATTTCAATAAGCTTATGTTTACTTGAAATCAATGAAACTTAAAATGGCTAGATAGAGTCCATGTTTTCTGTTTGGCTACCAACCAGCACCTGTTTTGCAATTCTTGTGTATGGGTATCTATCTTGTACTGTATCATGTCCCCTTATACAGACTCTACTTTCTTGCTGTCCCAGTTTGATGCTAAATTTACTGCCAAAGGGTGTGTGATTTATTGAACAACAAAGTAATGAGAAATAATACCTAGGCGAGCTGCTGCTGCACACCACTGTCATTCATTTCTCCCAGTCAGGAACTGGACAGGCCAGCACAGTGCACAATTGCCGGGCTTTGCGAAAAGGCAAAATACTCATAGATGATAGGCTTGTGCTGCTGGTACTGCTCATTAGCTTGTCTTGATCTCAGGCCTTTTTTTATTTTATTTATTTATTAGTTTGATTTATATCCTGCCCTCCCAAAGACTCAGGGCAGCTCACATGCGGCAAAGCTGAGTGTAAAATACAATAAAACATATAGTAGAATGCAATATTTAAAATCACAATAAAACCTTCCTCTAATGTGGCGCTATACCTAATCATCCAAGATGGGAACAACCACCTAAATTTGGTGGCCAGCTGTCTCAGTGGCGCGGTCTCCTGCTACGCTGTCCAAAACTTCTGCCTGGGCATGCCAGCCCCCCTTATGTTATAGAGCAGCTGATGACCTGCCACATCGGTGGTAGAATAGTGGCGGCGGCGGCTCCTACTCAAACGCCTGGTGGAAGAGCTCCGTCTTGCAGGCCCTGCGGAACTGCATAAAGTCCCGCAGGGTCCGGATCTCCTCTGAGAGCTCATTCCACCAGGTAGGAGCCGCCACCGAAAATGCCCTGGCCCTAGTAAGGGCAAACTTAATCTCTCGGGGACCTGGAACTACCAGGAGATGGAAGTTCCCCGATAGTCGTGCTCTTGAGGGAACATACGGGAAGAGACGGTCCTTCCCATTCCTTTCCCTTTGAGTCTTGCCACAATGCTCTGTGTTCCCAGATCCACCTCAGGAGACAGGACTCAGTTAAAAAGCTTACACTGGACATCATTATTGTAGCAAGCAGCCTGATCTGTATGGTCCAGTCCAACGCTCCACTGTTAACATCTATAAACTGGGAGCATATGGACCTTGGACAACTGACAATCGTTATTTCCCAGATCAGCATCATCCTGCTTCTGGGGGGGTGCTCCCTCTAAACTGAGTTAGTGTGAGCTAGTTCACAGTTTTTTAACCTCCAGCTCATACTTTTGGGTCTTAGCTCAGGAAGGATGGCTCCAGAGCAAACTAATTTATGCAGTAGCCAAATCGCTCGCTTACAACTTTAATGCCAGTAGCTCACAAAGTAGAATTTTCGCTCACAAGACTCCACAGCTTAGAGGGAGCATTGGTACCATATAATTCCAGCTTACAGAAACTAAAGGTAGAACATGAGACTGAATTGTATGAAGTGGCTGTCATGCTGTAACACTGAAATATGAATTCAGACTATCCTGAATTTCCATAGCCACACATTGGCTGTATCTCTACTTTGCATCTAAGGCATAGTAGTTACTGTTACCACTCATCTGCATCTGGCTGGTTCTCTGAACAAGCAAAACAGACAGATGCCTTGGATGCCACCGGGACCAAAGCATAGCTATTTCTCATTATTGCAGGGATTTCTCTTCCCTCCTGTCACTAGGAATTAGCTATTTTGCCAGCTGGAAGACTTATCTATGCCTGTTCTCCAACTCACTCCAATTTTTCCATCTCCTTTTTTCACTATAGCTGAAGCAAAGACCTTCATAAATAATAATGTTCCCCAAGTGATTTGTCTGTCTAATGTGCAACCTTGAAGATTATGGTAACATAACCACCAGTTCTCCTCCTCTTATGACTATTGATCACATAGTTACAGAGGCATGCAAAGAAACTGGCATAAAATAAATTACTTGAAATAAATTTGCAGATTTATCCCCCCAAAAAAACTTTCCTCCAGGAAGTTTTCATTATTAAATGCAACTTAGATGTAGATTGAAGTAATTAGTCAGAGGTGCAATGGATGTTTTGGGGAGTGGGAAATGGAAGAGGAGATTTGCCAGGCATGGGAATAAACAATTGAGAATCACCATTACCCCAGTACAAGTCATTTGAGCTGTAGGATTAGATAAACAGGTTCCTACTGACCTAGCCCTGAAACTTGTTAGTCTATAAACAACAGTTTTCATGACTGGTGAAGTTGATTGGCAAATGAGCAGAAAACTACTGCTGTCCTGAAGGCAGCCCATTTCAATGCTCTGGTAAGCACGGAACTGGCATATTTGCTATGAGAAGAAATTAGGTTAGTGCCACACTGTGGGTGTGTTCAGATGGGGCATTTGAGCCAGTATACGAGCTGGTTAGAATCGGAGTACTCACACAGCCAGCATCTGCCTTCCGTCCCGAACCACTGCAAACACCCTTTAAACCGGTGTATTCTGCTACTAGGTCCCCAAGTGGTGGTATCCTGAGTGCCCCGGCTCTACCCGCATTATCCCCATCTGATCGCTCTCCGCCGGTGTAGAGTCACTTCCGTTCGGAAGCCCGAGGCTTCCGCTTTTCAGCCGCCATTTTTTTAGCCTCCTCGATGTGTGCTTGTTTTTGTTTTTAAAAAAGATGCTTAGTTTTAGGCTGCGGACGAGTCCGGGACCTCACAGAGGCCCTTTTCGCTGTAAAAGTTTAAAGAGAAGTCTTCACCTCAGGGCACGCTTTTCAGGACGGGGTGTTCTGCACCTGTGCGAAGGTCTCAACTCTGTGGATGGCTGCCTATGCGTATGTGCAAAATGTAAAAAAAACAAAACCCTGCATCAGTTACAGGTAAACAACCTGTTTTTCTCCATCCTGGGTGCTGGCTCCCCTTTTCTTTCCTTCCTCCCATTTCCCTCCTCTCGTTGCTATCCTTGCTACTCTTACCTCTCCAACCCATCACCGGTTACTGTGCTACCCCTAACAGATTCTAGTGAGACAGTAATATGGAACAGTAAATAGTTCAGTTTCTTTAAATCTTTGCACCATGGGAAATGTAGTTAGTAGTTAGATGCTCTGACATTAGGTTCCTCCATTGGTTAGATAGGGCCATTTCCTAGTGCCAGTGTGAGTCCAGGAAAATATGTTTATTGGTTCAGTTCCATTGTTTGAACTTTACAAGCCGCAAAGTAAGAGGGACAGAATCAGTCTCTTTCTACCATTATTCTGATTCCTGGATACTTCATTAGTATGGACTCCTTTATTCACCCAGCAGCCCTAATGTGAGTTACTAAACCTTGGATGCATGGTGATTAATAAAATGATGTGAAGAAGAAGAAGAGATTGGATTTATACCCCACCCTTCACTCGGAGTGTCAGAGCAGCTTACAAACTCCTTTCCCTTCCCCTCCCCACAACAGACACCCTGTGAGGTAGGTGAGGCTGAGAGAGCTCTTGACAGAACTGTCCTTGAGAGAACAGCTCTGACAACTATGGCTTGCCCAAGGTCATCCAGCAGCTGCAAGTGGAGGAGTGGGAAATCAAACCCGGGTCTCCCAGATTAGAGTCCGTGCACTTAACCACTACACCAAACTGGCTTGCTATTAGACTGATGTGTTGGACAGGCTTGAGCTTCTAGAAGCCTGGGAACAGGATAGGTAGTCTGCCTGTCTCTCTCTCCCCC